CCAAGGTCAACATAGGCACAATACGTTCTTCAAGAGTGCGATAGTTTTTCTATTAGGGCAGGGAGTCATGAGTCTTGTAACAACTTCATAGCCTCTTTTATGTGCTTGCATATGTTGAATACAACTTCGATTAAAAAAAAAATTTAGACGCAATACAATATGATCGTAAAAAACACTCAAGCAATTGAGTGAGTTTTCTTTGGTCCAAACAACCCAATGTTACCATTAAATATCTAGATTAAGGAATTTGATAAAAGATTTGAAATCCTCCTAAATCCCTAGATTAGTTAGGAGGTATTTAGATTTGTAAATCATAATTTATTCTAGTGTCTAAAGTGTATTCAGACAATTGGTAAATTATGAATCTATATATCTATTGAGCAATCCAAATAACTAAAGCAATTAAGAGGTTGAATTCAAAATTTTCGTCAAATTTCTCAATCTAAACGAAGTTTCAAATATTTAAGAAATGCATATTCTTTAAACAATGAGGGGGTATAACTGTGACAGTCTCACCTCACCCTAAGGCGAATCAAAAGGTTCGGTGGATCGCCTGCCTAGCTCTCGTCAGGACTACGAAGTCGAATCTCACAACCCCTATAGTACGCTCGACAGGACCCAAAGAAAACGAACAATCAGAGACTGCTAAGGTGAGAACATGCTTACCAAACCATACTTATACATATATTTACATCGGAGTCTTTAACTAAACTAAAGTACAAGCCAAAGTATTCATACACTTAAAAATACGATTCGAGTTTTGGTTGCAAAAGAGTTTAACAAAATACTAATTACACTAGCTCGACCCTTTCTTCCAAGATCATGGATTCAAAGTGTGCCCCTGAAAGAAAAACAAAGATAACGGGAAGGGGGGGAGCTTACGCTCAATGAGGTACCAAACATATAGCAGTAAAATCATGGCATTTCACGTTTAACCAATCAGGTATACAGGCCAGATATAAAGTAAAGCAGTTAGACTCAATGATTCAAATCGGAAGGATACAGGTGGCTCTCAGGAGCTAGATTTCCATTGCAGTACTTGGTCCAAACCCGTTGACTCTCCGTCAACGTATATAGAACCAACATGTTCGTAGACCTCACTTTACGCCAAATTTCGTCCACCGTACATATCCCTTACCGGGCCCGAACACTTCAACAGAAACAGAAGTGGTAATACTCGAGTATACCGGAATCAAGAGTCTCAATACCCAAAGATTCCTAGAAACAGACTACCGTGGTTCGTTATCTAATCGACCTGGCCCTTGCTGGCTGAACTCGAGTAATTTAACCACAGAATTTGAGGTCCGAGGTCACAGAAAGGTCGTTGGATTCAAATCTCCAAATGACGTCAGAACAAATACAGATACAAATAACAGATTCAAATTCACATAGTAAATTGGCATACGAACAGACAAGAGAACGAGTGTGATAAAGTACACCCTCGTCTCAAATAGAATAAACAGATAGTACAGTCATTCATATTACAGATTGCATGTACAGAAACCAAGTTAAACAACAAGTGAGGGGAGTGGTGCACTCACAATTCAAGTACAGGTACTTCAAAATTTTCACCCAAAGTGGCCTTAATCACCGTGAAATCCTAAGAATAACAAAGGTAAAGCAGTTAAAGTTTTCATATCCAACATCGAGTAAACAGGATGCACAAGTGAGACTCGATTACTAGTCGGGTGCCTCTCCAAGTTATATACTAGTACAAAAGAATAAAAATGCGATTTTGAACAAATGGATAACAGTTGGTACAAGGGTTACAAACAACCCCAAACTCCCTCTCATTCTATCACAATGCAACTCCAACTTAAAGGAATCAAATGGCCTAGAAAATTGGACAGCATTTCCCTTAAATTTCCTTATTTTTCCAGCCATCATGGCTTCATTTTTCCTCAAATCAGCCCCAATGTCACAAACAAAATAATCTCATTTTAATAGCCGTTCAATAACTCAATGTCGTAAAAGTACAAAATCAAGCTAGGAAAATGTCCGGAAATGAAGTTTAAGTCATAAAACAAAAGACAGATTTGACGTCGTTTAGCGTATCGGACACAACCAAAGTTACGCTTATCAAATTGGTGTGCAATTTATACCGTTTCGAAGCTAAGATAAAAGGCTACAACTTTAATGAAGACCACTCAGTCCAGTTCATAGTGTAACTAGATCAAAATTTCAAATTACAGAACTAGAGTCTCACAATCAGGCTAGTTAACCGCACTATGCCTAAACAATAATAACTCAGGCTACCGAAGTCCAATTGAGGCGTTTTTAGGGCCGTTGGAAAGCTAAGACATAGCACTACAACTTCTGTGTTTTGGCCAAATACTAATTCAGTACGGATCAGGGTGAACAGATGCAGTCAAATTAGTGAAATGTCAACACTGTCCACAGAGTTCTACCTATGGCAGTTAGGGGTATTTTTGTCTTTTCATATGATACAGTACTCAGATTGAGCTGAAATTTTACAGACAACTATAAAATATTATTTTCTACAACTTTCATGTTTTAACCTAAGGCTGATTCGGCCTTCATCATGGCCGAACAGAACCGGGCAGAACAGGGTAAGATGAAACCCTAAATTGGAATTTCCGCACAAATTCTGAAATTTTCCGCAAATAACTATAATTAACACACCTAAGTTCCACCTTAGACCATATCAAGCCATCATCCATAGCCAACCAACAATTATTATATAAAATCAGAAAAATCACTAATAAAATCAGAAATTTGTCAAACTCTACTAAAAATCATGAAATCTTCCACAAAACAACTTATTTAGCTAACACAAGTCACTAATAAACCATTATTAGGAACAAAGAGTGAGTTTTCAAGCAAAATACCTTGACACCTCAAAAAAGGTAGTAGCTTAGGGGTTCCTCCTTCAAAACAACTCCACCAATCACTTTAATTCTTCTTAGCAAGGAGTTTTTATAGAGTGATTTGAGATGTTAATGGTTGGAACTCAACATTTGGACAAGAATTGAAGTGGCAAAATGAAGGGTTTTCTCTCTTTTCTCTCTCAATATGGTCAGCCAAGAAGGAAGAAGAAATTGGGAAATTTTGGTCAAATTTTTGGTATTTAGTAAAGGTAAGAAAGTTAGGCAAATCCAACTTTGAATAGAAAAGTGACACTTGGCACCTTAGGGTTTCATTCTCATCCTTTGTCTACCAATGGTAATTTATCTAGTTAACTTCTAATTGTCTCCTAACACTTTGTAAAATAATAACACTTAGCACAAAAATCACTTAATCACCAAAATTTTATCACACTAGTGGGCCCCACGTCTATAATGTGTTTCAACTTTAACGTACACCAACTTATACTAGGAAAATGATTTAAAACTGTACTTGCTTATAAAAATACATAGAAACTTTAATATTTTAAAGGCAAGTATAAAAAGGCAGTCAAAAATACAATAATACCTAGAAAATGTGAAAATTTTCGAGTTCTCACAATAACAAACCATCAGACCATGCCGACCCACCTTGGCCATCAACCTTGTTATCACACCTTTATTTGTTCTAAGAATTCTCTTGGCAATCAATCTGAGCAGATGTTGTATGTTTAGCTGAAAAGAGCACTAAGTAATATTTGTTTCCATAAAATGCAGATTTCATTAACAAATTATTGGAAATCATCCAACATGGTTTGATTTACATCACTGTCCTAGTAGTAGGTTAAATATGCACTATAAATTACATATTTACAATTTAACAAATACAATAGATCCAAAATATTCTGAATAGATCTGAAAAATACAAGAAATATATAGATTGTTTTGTAATACTCCCTTCTATACATGTTGCAATCCACAAATATACTGATCAGCGGTTTTAAACTCCAATAGTGATGATAAGATCTATCAAAACAGATCCAAGATACAAAAAAAATTTAGATCTGACAATTAGATCCAACATAAATTTAGATCTAACAACAACAAAAAAAGTAAAAAATACAAAAATCTCCATAAGAATCCCTAGGAGAATAGAAAATTCTCACTAAAAATTCTAATATGTGGTTTTAAACTCCAATAGTGATGATAAGATCTATCGAAACAGATCCAAGATCCAAAAAAATTTTAGATTTGACAATTAGATCCAACATAAATTTAGATCTAACAACAAAAAAAGTAAAAAATACAAAAAACTCCATAAGAATCCCTAGGAGAATAAAAAATTCTCACTAGAAATTCTTCGGAGAAATGGAAAACTCTCACTAAGAAAATTTAGAAGAAACTTTATTAGAGAAAAACAAACAAAAAGAAGCAAGATTCATGGGAGGGTGACCATGGTGTAGTCTCTATCCCTAAGAGAGAGAAGAGAAGAGGTGGAGAGAATTGAGAACAAGAGTTACTAAGTAATATATTTCATTATTGTGATTTACTACAAAAATTAATTATAAGTTGAAGACAAATAAAAAGAAAATTAGATATGCGAAATTTTTTGTAGCATCTTAACCCAAAAAAAAAAAAATGGCTGAAGACCAAAGAAATTAGACATCAGAAGAAGAGAGGCCACGCATTAAACACAATGAAAGCCTTTTCCTGATGAAATTGGGTTGTGCAAAAAAATCGTAAACCAGAAAAGAAGGCACTTAATCTTTTTAGCTATTTCTCTTGGTGAAATTGGGCTGTGTTAAAATTCTAAACCGAGTTGGTCAGTATATTAAACTTTAAACCAAAAGAAATTCTAAAATTTTAACTTACGAGTAAAGTAGGTCAGAGGTTACCAAATTATTACAAAATAAAATTAGTATTATTGTATACACGCTGAATTGGCACTTAAGAATTACACATGGTATATAAATGCCTCGTGGAAAGAAAATGATTTTAGCTCATCCTGATTGTAAATAGCTGCTATGACTTACAGGAAGGGTTGAGTTGGGTTGGGTTAAATGATAAAATGTGAGAGATTATAAACAAGAGATCTTAAATTCAAAATCTCCCTGCTTCAAATAAAAAAAAAAAAAAAAAAAACAGGCGCTGCGATGACTTGCCATATGAAAGTAAATGATGTAAACCTCATATCACTTTGTGAAACTAGGAGATAAACATATAACTAATTTGGCTAATAATTGGTGTCTAAGTTCATAAGATCATCTTCTGATGCCTGCAGAATTGGAAGTCTTATTCGAATTTGACCATTAAAACCACGATTCCGCTCTGGGCAGAAAACAATGTAGTTGGAGTTGTCTAATTGGTTAGTGCTTTGCACACGATAGAGGGGCTGACCAGCAGCATAACCACCAAGAAGCTGGTATGATCTTTCCGATTGATCCATTGTAATGCATAAATCCTCAGTACCTACAAACATATCCCCATTAGGTAGATGAAAATTTAGGGACATCTACCCAAAAGGAACAAGGAAATTGAACAAAAAAAGTTTTCTATACATAAAGATTATTTGGTTATCGGCAGCAATTTACATTAAATCTAAAACATAGGAATGTGTACAGCAGAACGTTGTGAATAAATGAGGTACATAACATAATGGAAGGGACTTCTGTCTAGTGTTAAAAAAAAAAATACTATACCTCAATTAGTGTTATTTTTTGTCATTATAAGTCAATGAATATCGTCAAATTTGAAAAATAAAAAGGACGTATTTACAAAGAAAAAAAAATAAAGGGACGTATTTAAAAAAAAATAAAGGGAGAAAAACATAGCTTTCAATTTTTGGATTAGACTTACAGGCAGCGAGCTCTAACTGAGTTTGGTAGATAAAATCCAATACTCCAGATATGTCTTTCTCAAACATATGAAACGGTCCATCCTCGAAGTTCATTTTTCTCAGCTTACACAGTCCCTCTCCCAACTCCATCATAGCTCCCCTGTGGTTCTAAGAAAGGGAAAAATTTTTTGTTGAGTAATTTATTAAATGAAGAAATTTGCATTACCTTAAAGTATTGTATTTAATATCTCAATTGTACTTTCCTACTATTCAATTTGAGAAGAAGTACATAACAAAATGACAAACAAATACTATTAGAATGAGTTGAACTCAGCAAATTGTACATTAGAGTCAATCTTAACTGCCGAATTCCACATGTCAAAATAGTAGTCATTTTTTTTCTTAATAATACCATATTTGTAGTAATCATCACAATTTATTGTGTTGATTTCTCATTTAAGAACATACAGAGTGTAGCAATAATTGTTAAATATTACCTGATTAAAAAGATGATGGAAACCTACAGCACATTGCAAAATGCCATGCACAAGAGTTCTGGTGGGCTCTTGGGACTTGTTCCAAAGGGATTCAAGAACATCATGGCATCTATAATATTCCTTCTTGTTGAAGAGCTCAACTGCTTCTTGAAAGCTACAACAATCAACATCTTCTTCTTCTTCTTCAGTGGTAAATCTTCCCCAAGATGAATACCGATAAGATGCAGTTTTGTGATGTGAAAACAGCATATTTTCATGCTGACAATTAGTAGTAACTTTTTTGTTGAAAAATGAAGTACTGGGATTAGGGCAAAGAGTTGGTTTGGTTGGTGATGAAAAGGAGGAGGATGGACTAGTGAATGATGGTAGAGAGGTTGAAAGAATTGCCATTTGCTATTGTGGCTGAGGAGGAGTAATTCTTACTCCTTTTCTTTGATTTGTTCCTATAGGTTTTGCATTGCCTTGAATGAGTTCTGGTGGTGGAGATTCCAGCTGGGCTGGCCTAAGATATTTCTGAAATGTTGTAATTTAGTTAGTCATTTCTAGTATTTTGGTCTTTGGAAAAAAACACACTTATAGTCCTTCACGTCTGAGATTTCTACGTTTTTTGTCTTGCATGTTTTATGCATTGGATACTTTGATCCCTAACATTTTCAAAAGCATAGCATTTCAGTCTTAAACTCATTTCCTTTATTGTACTTGCACATTATTCGACAAATATTTCAGGGTAAAGAGGGAAATATAATAAGGATGATATTTTTGGTTCACTTTTTTAATTCTATCCTTAAATATTAGTCATGCGATGTGAGCGAGTGCTTTTTTTTTTTTGGATACAAGGCTCTAATAAATTGTCTAATTATATACACTTTAAAGTTAAACCAACAAATGTAACACTATTGTCAGTACTATTGAGTTATCATATTGTTAAAATTTTTTCACATTCCAATGGAGTATCTTGGCCAATCTCTAACACTCAAAATTTGGAATTTTTCCAAATTCCAAGTTCCAATTTCTGACACTCAAAATTCAAATGGAAGGATCAATAGTTTCTTTTTTCTTTTTGGGGTTAATTCCACTTTATCCCCCAAACTTTGGACGATTACCCACTTTAGTTCTTAAACTTCAAAATGAGACACTTAAGTCCCTAAACTTATAAATACCTCCCAATTAAGAAAAATTGTTAACAGAACCTTGAATGCCGTGGTGGTCGAAGTGTCCCATTTTATAAGAGTTTAGGGATTTAAGTGTCCCATTTTATAAGTTTAGGGACTTAAGTGTCCAAATTTATAAGTTTTAGGGACTCAAATGTCCCATTTTGAAATTTAGGGACTAAAGTAGATAATCGTCCAAAGTTTAAGGGAACAAAGTAAAATTAACCCTTTCTTTTGGATAATCAATGTTTGACAATTGTTAAATAACCCAGCTTATACTTTTCAAGCCAAAAATGGTGAGTCTTGATTATCAAAGAAAACAAGGGACTGAAATACATCACATTTTGAAAATGAGGGACCAAAATTGGTAATCTCACAGTGTAAGGTGCCATCTTCCCTTCAACTCTTACCCAATTGAAAATACATCTCCACACAAGTTCATCAACAGCCCCCGAAAAAACCATTACAGAAAATAAAATAAAATAAAACAAAATCATAAACAACCCAAGCAAAAAAAAAAAAAAAAAAGGGGGGGGGTGGACTCTCCCATTTGCCATTTGCCATTTCCCATTTCCCAAAACGATTCGGTTCTGCTTTCTCTGTTTCCGTTTCGTCCGGTTAATCATCAACTACACATATATACTGAGGTGCAGTTAATTGTATTTTGCCTTGAGCTTATGCTTTTATGAGGTTCAGGAAAAGGGTTGTTCTGGAATCGCCTCGAGATTGAATATCTAGGTTGGCTGAAAATGTACTAATTTCAGGTATTTATTCTATTTCCAATTCAAAATTTTCGTTTTATGTTTGTATTCGGATTGGATTATTATAAGCGTTTGGCCCTCATGATCTTTTTGTATAATGGTTTTTTTCTTTGGATGTCGTTCTTTTTGGTCGGTGAAAAAGAGTACCAAATCGTTTTACTGATTTTTTTTTTCAATTGTTGTAATGGGTATTAATTGAGTTAATTTTGAAGCAATTCTTGTTTTGACTGTCTGATTGTTGTTATAGTAATAAAACTATAGAAAAGCTTGCGCATTGCACAATTTTTGAGTTGTTTGTTGTGAAGGGCATTTTTAGTGCTTTCCATGTGATTATTGTTATTATTATTGGTTATGTTATGGATTGATTTGGTGGGCTTTAGTGGTGAGAAGGAAGTTGCAATGAAGGAAAAAAGAGGGAGTTATGTTCCACCAAGTTATATACCCCTGGAGCAGGCGGAGCGGTCAGATTCAGAAGCAGAGAAAGATGGAGATGAAGTGGTGGATGTTGGCGGCCCCAGTCAGACAACGAAAACTCAAAGTGAGAGTTCTGGCGTGCCACAGCAGTGGTCCTCTGGAATCTGTGCTTGTTGTGATGATCTGCAAAGCTGTAAGCAGATTTCTGCCTCCTTTTTGGTTTCATGTTGATTTTTCAGTAATTACCCCTCTCATAGACGGAAAAAAGAAAGAGATAAGGACAAGAAAAGGGGAGGAAGATGCAATTGCTATGTTTGTTTGATATTTGTTCGGTTTTGACATGTATTTGTATGGTATTGGCTTGGGGAAGAGGTATTTCTTGTGATATAAGCTGTTCTATTTCTATTCCATGTTTCCTAAGAATGATGCATATTATCTGGATCTTTTTGCCTAAGATGTAAGCTGCTCATGGTCCTAACATCACTGCCAGACGTGGAATTGTAATTCTTGTCATATCTGATTGAGGCACAAACTATTTGGACAAACATTAGTATTGATCATTATGAGTGGGAGTTTTTCCTTTGGCAGAAAGCTCTTTACCTAAAAGCCATGACAGGGGATAATATGCACCACTATTAGAAAGAAATGTTTGCATTTTAGAAAGATGGAGGACCCAAAATTATATAAGAGTAAACTATTTAGGGAGTCCTTCAACTATTTCAGTTGTCTCAAATTAGTCCCTCATCTATTTCATCTCAAATTGGTGCCTTAACAATGAAAAGTGCTAGATTTTGATCCTTGGGTCTATTTCCACAGTTAGATCTGTCCAATTTTGCCCTTACATGCATCAGTTGTAACGGTGGAGATTGACTGATGGATCAAAATTTGATGCTTTTTCTTGTTTAGGGACCATTTTGAGACTTGAAATAAATGAGGGGCCTCTTTGAGACAATTGGAATAGTTTAAGGGCTCCCTAGATAGTTTACCAAAGTATAAATTGGAGCGGTTCAAGATTTACATTTCTCTGGGATGAGGATTTGCTTGACAACTTGCCTTAGTTGGTGTGAAGTACTCAAATGTGGCTTATTTGGCATTAACTGGCATATGGATGAGAAATCTGATTATGTTAGTGGTGAACGAGCACATCTTGAAGATGGTTAATATGCACCGAGCTCAACCAGTTAGTATGATGGTAATGATTTATGATGTGGTGGGCTTAATACTTTATTATGCGGCAACACAACGCTTATATAGTCTTCTCAATCAGTTCAACTTTGAATCCTGCATACATTAGACAAAATAAAATGCGTAAGAAAATGATAACAAAATAATATGCGAAGAAAACACATATATCTCCTTTCTTTTAGTATCTGATAACATAATCCATACGCGTGTCTAAAGTAATATACTTGGCTTATTGTTCAAACCCCCTGGATTGATTTCTGCTCTTAGAGTTTTCATTGACAAGGCCCTAAACACTGCTAGTTGCGGTTATGATTCCTGTTGAGCACCTTTTGTTTACATCAAATATTATTTGTTCAGTAGTATGTTGCTTTTCTATAAAGAAGCTGAAAACAACAAAAAATTCTCTGTATTTCTGTATTGGAGATTACTGTGCATGCAATTTCACATCACTAGCAATGCTGTTCTTCAATTTTTCTGGAAGTTCAACATGGCAGAGGAATGTAATTAGGGTTTGAGTTTTAGATTCCTCTATCACTGAACCGTGATTGAAGGTTTTGTGCAATTACATCGAGAAAATATGCAGTTACATGCTCTGTGTAAACCAGTCATTTAATAAGTGGACTGATCTGGGTTTTGGGCATTAAGATTATCAGGATCAAGTTCAAAGGTTGATTTCCTTTTCAGATAAAAGTTTTTGCTAAATTCTGTTGACTGGAAAATTATCAGCTTATTTAAAAGTTTAAATTATCAGGAAAAGTAGTGGTTCATTGATTTATACCGTAAGAACTCTTTGTGAGCTATGAGTTTTGGCTACACATTTCACCTAAGCTTAAGCTATTAAATTGGAAACCAATGTATTCTCTTCTATGCTCAAAACCATTTTAACGTCAAATCTCGATATCATTATCTCGTGAGTGACTTGAGATGTGCCTTTTATTTAATTGATTCAGTCAAAATCAGACTCCTAGTATTTTGTTGGCTCTGATAATTGATCCTAATGAACTAATATCAAGTATTGTTTCTGGTCAGGTTTCATTGGGCTCGTTTGTCCTTGCTTTCTTTTTGGGAAGAATGCAGAGTTTTTGGGTTCAGGAACTTTTATGGGGTCATGCATGACTCATTTTATCTTATGGGGTCTTGTCAATACTCTCTGTTGCTTTCTGACTGATGGTGTTCTTCTGGGTTTGCCTGGATGCTTTGTTTCTTGTTATGCATGTGGCTATCGGAGGACATTAAGGTCCAAATACAATCTGCAGGTATTGAGAGTGGTGCTTTTGCTTTGTAATTATTTTCATTATATATCTGTCATGCTTTGTAATTTTCCGCTGTTTATGTTTTAGATTGCATCATAACTTTATGTTCATGGAGTACCTTCCAAGTGATTTTTATTCCCAATTCCTCCCTCTGAACGAATAACAAGAGCAAGTTCAGAGTTTTAACTGCTAGTAAGCGTTCATCCTTTATGTGCTTAGTTCATCATTCACTTGATATTGTTAATTCATGACAGCTTCCCTAGACTAGAAATACAAGATTGATGAAGTAGGTAAGCAAGTATCAAGTACAATAAATGTTGGAACAGCTTTAGGAAGCAAGAACTGAAGCTTCCTTGGAATTGATCCTAATGATGGCAAAAAGCTCCACTTTCACTTGGACTAAGAAGTTTTTGGGGTCAAAAGGAAGAATATTCTCGGTCCAAAATCCGAAAATCAATTTTTTTTCTTCTAAGTTAAGGTTGCTTTTGATACCTACCATTGGCATTTTATCATAAGCTTAATAAATTTGTTACAAATGATTCTAACTTTGCGCTGAAGTTGGACAAAATAATTTGATCTCCAAGAATTAATACTCTAGATATAGAAACTGGAGAATGCTCTGAATTTCTGTTCTTCTAAGTTAAAATTGCTTTTGATACATATTATTGGCATTTTATCATAAGCTTATTAAATTTGTTATAAATGATTCTAATTTTGCTCTGAAGTTGGACACAATAGTTTGATCTCCAAGAATTAATACTTTAGATATGGAGACTGGAGAATGCTCTGAATTTCATTGCGCTGTGATACAGCATTAAGGAAAGATGTCATATAGGAATTAACTGAGTTAAATTCAAGAAATACTGGGACCAGTTATGACAAACCAAGATTAAAAACTACTTCAAAGTAGCTGACTTGAAGTTAAGGCTATATTTTTCCCTAAGAAAAAGACCATTGAAAGTTTTGGAATCTTTTACGCACTACATTTTTGTTGTTCTCTTCTTCACTAGTGTAGTTGTGGAGAGTTATTGTGTTATGGCTTGTAGTGTGAGAAGAATAGTGCTGATGGTGGAAGTTTTGTACAATTAACATGTCAACGATTAACATGTCCTTGATTTGGAAAGGAAAACAACATTTTTCTGGCTTTGATATGTCTATCATGACATGTATATTAGTAGATTAGTCGACTGAAGCCTATTCATCTGTACAATTCAATTCTAGAAAATTGATGTGGATGAACAGGGTAATAGCTCGTTGAAGTGTATTGATGACGCTCAACTTTTCAGGAGTGGACCATTTTGGTGATCATAAGATAATTTATTGTTTGATTTTTCTGTGGATGATATATGGACTTTGGGCTTGCCAAGATTTGTCAGTTGATTCTCTTGTTTTTTTCGCCAGATTAACTGTTTCCTTTTCCTGCTTTTACATGATTTGAGAGCTTGTTTATTGTATAGTAGTTCGTTTACCTTTAGTAGTCATAGGTATGCCTGCAACTTAATAGTTATTGGAGTTGGTGCTGTACCAATGATGCTAATGGACTCTGCTAGACTCAAATTTTATCCTTTTCTGTCATATGACGCCCTTTGATGCTCTTTCTCTAATTTTTAAAAGTTGAAAGATGAAATTAGAACTCAAGCTTCTGTAAATTCTTGTCTGTTGAAGGCTGAATATTTATTTTTTAACCTACTCTCTACGAATTGTAAACTAGTATTCGGTGTGCAGAAATGATTTACGATCCTTGAGTAATCAGATAGACCTCAAGCACTTTGTAGTCGAGGCACATCTTAGACCCAACATAAGTATGCAATATGTTGACACATGGTAGACTTAGGTGTTAATTGGAGGCATGGGCATTTAAATTGGTAATCTCCCTCTACAAGATCAAATAGCAAAAGTTTTATACTATGTAAGCATATCAATATGGGCATTCAATCATACATGTGACCTGAGAAATGTTTATTCCAAAAGCGTGATATCAATCAGATCTAAGGACTGCTACATTGCGTAATTGCTGTTTTTGAGCATCATCACTAAAGCATTCAACTTGCAGATTATGTTTAGGCTACTTTGCAAATGCTTTTGTTTTCCAGGGGTCTTTAAAAGTGAACATTATGTCAGTATTTTTAGCTGGTGGATGCATTAAAAAGTTATTAGCATCATTTTGGTGAAAAGCCTGTCTAACTGTCTTCCTTTGTTGATGATCAAACTTTCAGCATCTATTCTAGGCAATAATATGAAAGCCTTAGGTTCTCTCTAGACAATTGGTGATCAGTTGTATGATTAGATATCCAATTGCACTCTCCCATTTAATATGCTGGGTGATTTAGGAATTCACTTGTTTTATTATGAATAGCAGGTCTGCTGTTGTCATAGCCATCGCAATCCCCATGTTTTGAACCTCATATAAGCTTTATTATACTTGTTGAGTTATGAGTGGATAGCTTGATTGAGATACTTCCAACACCTCTCAATGGACATTCTGTTTTATCATCCTTTGCGTGCTGAATGCTTGGTTTGGTACAGCAGATGTAGGCCATAGATACCCAATGAGAAATGAACATAGCAGGCAAGTTATATATTAGAGCAGATTAGAGTATTGCATATGGTTATTAGACGATGTTGTAAGAGAAATTTTTGGGGTTGCATTTTTGCATTGAAGATGTTACCTTAGGACCAGACGCACGCATTTTCATGTAGCATTATTTTCTGGGCAGTAGGGGATTGTGATCGACATCAAGATGCACATTACACTTAAATAATACATTCACATGCACTAGTTTTGAGCTTTTTGTGATTTTTGAACAAGCTTGTCTGCCAGTGTAAGGTTACTTACCTAGTAAAATACATGACTTATGAATCATCTGCTTTTTCATAAATTAGGTTTACAGGTTGATTTTGTCATTTTCAAGTTCAGTTAGCTGATCTTACTGATATTCCTATGCCTGTGAATTTAACAAAGCTTGCTTTCCTGAAGCCTTGTTTTGATTGACTTTTAAATGTTGTACCAAGTGTACTATTGAGTCCTTGTTTCATTTGGCTGTTTAAATTTGTAACAAGTCTTAAATGTCCTGAAGCCTTGTTTTGATTGACTACTTAAAGTTACCACTACCATGATCCTGTCAATGCTAAATATTCTTGGGAATTTCTGTCTGCCATGCCATCTGCCAAAGCGATGTAGTAGTTGGAAGCATGTTCTGATAAGATTTGGTTTTAGAATTGTTATGTATAGAAAGTTTAGAATCTGGAAAATGGCATTTTAGAATCTGAGATAGAAGAGCAAGAGAAGGAGAAGAAGCTCTAGAATTTCACCTACATTTCTCTAGGATTAACCACGTAAGGTGAAGTCGCTTTCATTTCTCAAAGAAAGCAGAAGACAATAACCTAAACAATCCCTATCACATTGCTTCTCTATTACTGAGCTATTACAACTTCTATATGGAGAAAGGTTCTTGTAGGCTAATATTTCTTAAGGAGTAAGGATACATTTTAACTAAGCAAACCTGGCAACAAAGAAAGTTAAAAGCTTGAAGATGCATAAAGCCAACTTGGTTTGACAACATGAGGAGGCAGCTACCAGGTTTCACTGTCCAATGCATATTTTTGACTCCTAGAAACTCTGATGTCCGAAACTACAAATTAATACAAATAATACATTTAAATAAACATTAAACACATTGGTAGTAACCGCTAACAAAATCCAGTTCCATGATTTGCTGGGATTTTCATAGCAAAAAGAAGTTTGTCGTGTTCTTATTTATCTTTGCTCTGCTTTTGGCATATTTGAAAATGGAAAAGGTGATGCTGAGAGATACCCCTTGAGACACGGCATTTGCATGTTATTGCAACCAAAAATGCTTTCAATTTTTTTGCAGCCTTTTAAAGAGTGTGTTGAAAACTGAAGCTAACAAGAATAGTCTTTTTTGTTTTCCCACTTTTGTATTTTGGAGCTTAAATAATTGCAATTTTGTTTGTCTATGAAAATGTGAATATAGGCCAGATATCTTCCTTAGGGGCTTGCCAGAGTATTTTTGTTCTCTTAGTTGCATCTGTTGTCTTTTAATTATGATTTAGTTTGTAACATCACTTACTGTCTGTCTTGCAACTTGAATGTCTTTATGGGATCTCATATGGTGTTACTATCAGAAGTTGAAAAGGCATTAAGTAAAACTTTTAGATGCCATGATAACTCTTTGAATGTGTTAACCTGCGTTTGGGTAAAGCTAGTAGTTGTGGATCAAGTTCTAAAATAGCAATATTCTTTCATGTCTAATATTTTTTCTTATAAAAAGGTAATGATTTCCTTGCTTTAGACGAAAAAAGAAAAGATGAGCTTGTTATTTAAGATTAGTAGAGTAACAATTTCAGTTTAGATATGTCAAGAGCTAGCATTACATCATATTCAACCGACATTGGAAATTGTTGGGCTTCTTAGTGTGTTTCACTCTTATATGTCTCTGGTTGCTTTGAGATGTTGGAAAAATATCTGATATTGGTGTTCTTGATTTTTAGTAGTCTCTGGTTCCTAAACAGAGAAGGTGGTGAGTCTATTATCCTTACCATGTTCTCTGATTGTCTAAGCTCCATGGGCTAGTTATTATACCTTTGATCGTAGCCATGTCTCTTCTTCGAGACCCTGATTCTGTACTTTATAACATCCTTGAATGTTTGATGCAGGAAGCCCCCTGTGGAGACTTCATCACCCATTTTTTCTGCCACCTGTGTGCTATATGTCAGGAATACAGAGAGATAAGCGAAAGGTCTGGTTGTGCAAATCCCACTGACGTAGGTTTAGTAGAAGTGACTGCCCCTGCACATCAAACGATGAATCAACAACCTTAAACTAATATGTATCTGCAATGCAATAGATACAGCTGGTGAGCATGTATCTGCAACGCATAGATACCACTTTCCACAGCATGTTTTGCACTTCTTTTTTTCCTATTGCTGTGTTGTGTAAATTCTCGATGATCCTTCTGCCGGATAATTGTTATCCAGCTTTGTTTTGCTCTACAGATGTCACACATGTTCAGAGTATGTGTTCGTCGGATGGTATAAGATAATCTTTCAGTGAGAACCTTACTCCAAATTAGACGATCCAAACAACAAAGGGTGAAAATTACCCCATAAAAAAATAGAAAAATGAAAATGGGCATATGATGGTGTCTGTTCTTTATTTTTTTTTTCAATTGAAAAAAAAAAAGAGAGCTTATTGCAATACCTATGCAAAGAGGAAATTATACAACTGGTGAGCATGTATAGCAAAACCCCTTTGGTAAAGAAAGTTTGGTTTCCAACTTGGGATTCTGGAACTGATATATGTTCCATATTCCCAGAATCTACGTTTATGTCACAATCTGAAGCTGCATAATAGTCTTGTGTGATTGTAAAATGGTATCAGTTCCTTTTGGCCGGTGCTTCTGTCAGCCCCACAAAGTAAGGCCATGACCATCCCCGTCACCCTCATCTTCATCGTGGATTATGCATTTGTGCTCTTGAGGGCAGCTGCCCACCTCTCACATTTCTGGATTTGTTTGTGAGAGTGTGTGTGTGTGTGTGTGTTTGTATGCGTTTTTTTTTTATTTTTTTATTTTTTTGGTGGGAGGTTTAGGAACTTGGGATTACGGATTTGCATACCAAGTTGCAAAAGCAAGTCAGAAATAGAAGTACAAGTTGAAGCAAAGATAGCAGAATGGAGATCCATCATCATTGATGAATAAATTGTTGTATGAAAAGCAAAAACATAAGAGAAAAACTCCAAAACTTTTTAGCTTGCCGGTTGTCACTACTTGACTCAAGATAGGTTATCAGAATAAGAATTTACCATATCATTTAATTGAGAAATAAAAAGGGTGCCTCTGAAAACAGGTTCTCATAGAATCTTAGCCAGCTTATATTACAAGCTTCCCAACAACTGCAAGAGCATCTTCATACATGATGCGAACCTAACTGATGAGATCAAAAGTTTATGCCAACTTGAGTAATGCTATCAATTCACAAATATTGATCATTTTCACTTTCTTTTGTTATATACTTCTCACAAAATGAACTTTGAACATTCTGATATCTATCTGGAGCTGCATATCATCACAATGTTTGGTGGTTGCTTCAAGCAGACTGATATACCTAATGCAATGTGTGTAAGTTGTAACTGTTTTCTTTTTTAATTCTTCAAATATTTATACACACACACACAACATCCATACATACATACACTTAGATAATGAGTTCAAGCGAACTCAAAACTATCCACACATTGCATGAATTATTGGTTGAGGCACACACCCCTTAGATATTTGTTGAAATAAAACTACCAATTTAAAGTATTTTTATTTGGACATTTTAGCCTTGGATGAGATGGTTAATTTAGCAAGTGGTTTTTTTTTTGTGGTAAATTATTTGGAGTAAAATTGGCATTAAAAAGAAGTGACAAAAGAATTTGCACCATAACAATGCTCATGCTTTATCTATAGTATAGATATAGATTGTTGTAGCATTATAAAAAAGATTTGCACAATTGGCATGGTTGGTATGAATTTAATGTGGATGGATATGGATCCAGTCCATCTTGGAATGGCTGATTGTTGTTTGTTTATATCATTGAGGTGCGTTAAAAATGGAAATTTTTTTTTTTTTTTGTTGTTGTGGTGGTAAATTCAAGAGATTATCTACACAACTAATCTCGTGTTCTTGGTTTCCCATTTGGTGGATAGACTGTGGAACTTTTGGTTCATATGGATTGCGATGGATGTGAGAAAAGGATACGAAGAGCAATCTCAAAATTGCATGGCAAGATATTTTCCAAATTGTCCAACCCTCAACCATGCGGTTTGATGATTCTTTATTTCATATAGATTTAGAAAGATAACTTACAATCACCTTAGTTTCTTTGTTATCTGAATTATATCCATTTTTCTTAAGATTTTTAGAAATTTCATTAACTAATATGTCAGTAAAAAAATGATGATAAAAAGGTCTCTCAGAAGAAAATGAAACGTTTCAATTTGTATTTTTGCTTTGGCTTCTGCAAATTATGTATTTTTAGTGTTTGAACATAATATTTTATGTGTTGAATTTTCTATTTAAAATTTTGTTGGATTCTACTTATTTAGATAAGGTTGTTTTCTTTGTCATGATTCCAATTCTTATGTGCCTTTTTGAATTATTTAACTTAATTATGTAACATAAGTTAAATCACTTCTCGAAAAAAAAAAGTTCAAGACTAATGGGTCCCAATAATTAAATAAAATTTTTTTCTATGAAAAAAGGATAAGCATACAGCAAAAAAAAAATAAAAAAATATAATTGGATTCAGTATGAAAGCTCTAAAATTTCCGCTCACCTATTTAATTGCGTTTACATTTTTACTCTATTTTTATCCAAATGTCATTGCTTATCATGTAGGTGCCAAATAGAGGATTCCATATAATACACCGTACTTTTGCGGCTTTCATATTTAATCCTATCATGCGCATTGGAATATGCCTCTAAATTAATTAACATCAGCTTGGATTATGCCTAATGCTTTTCACTTAATCACTAGTCGTTGACATAGATTTCTAGACTAGTAAATACAACTACTGATATATGAAAACTCAGTTCAAAACCATATGTTTTTTTCTTAATTTTTTTAACAGGAGAGAGATAGGATTTATGAAGCAGAACGGGAAAAAGGAAATTTGAATCAAGTCGTATAAATTGTGGGGCTCAACCTTAGTTATCAGTTTAAGACCATGTGAATGAATGGTATGGAAAAGAAGGTATTGAGTGGTTTTCACGAGTGAGAGGCTAGTTTTTCTTGTAGGAGAGCGAAACTTTAAAACTTAAAATTATAGCCTTTTATGAAAGCTATTTGTTAAAAGCATTTGACTGAAAATAATACACTGCGCATAATATGGAGCAATATAATTACTAGTTGTATTAGCCACAAAATCTACATCAGCCCTCAGCTTTCCATAATCCTTTCAGGCGCTTCATAATCATTAATTATGGCATTTAGCTTTCACATGTTGGACATGCGTAGGACCAATATTAGAATACTAGTTTTGCTTTTATTCTTTTTCATGTATTAGTTCATCAAAAAGTTCAAAATATTAAAAAACAGATTAATTTGTCATTTGTTTTTAATTTGTCATTTAGTTCACTCTCATTTTTTCAAATCTGGGATTAATTTCTATGGTATACGTTTATAGGATGTCGATGGGTGCGGCAAAGAGAATCAAAATATTGTCATTTCTTTTTTTTTTTTTTGGGATAGAAAGAATAAATTGTTAATTGTCACGAGTACAAAGTCACGTGCTATAACAAATTGCAAGATTTGCAATCTACACAAAGCATGTGCATTTTATTTAAGGTGAATCTTAGATGCACTGATAGCATATACACCATCACAGTTGAATCATGAACATATCTAAAATTGAATTTCAAGTTCAATTTATATTAGTTATCACTCATTCAAAACTGACAGGATGTATATAAGATTAATCTGTTTGTTTATCATTTCTTTTTGTGATTTAATTTCAGAAGGATTACTTTCAAATTAATGCAGGCGTTGATAGCTTTGATGTAGACATGGATAAGCAAAAAGTCACAGTTGTCGGGTATGTAGATAGAAGGAAGGTCCTAAAGGTTGTAAGGAGAACAGGGAGAAAAGCAGAGTTTTGGCCATTTCCATATGATAGTGAGTACTATCCCTATGCAGCCGAGTACTTGGATGAATCAACTTACTCATCCACATACAACTATTACATGCATGGTTATAATGAGAGCATGCATGGGTATTTCCCTGATCTCCCTTACTCAACACTTGATGACAAATTTGCTTATAGCTTCAGTGAGGAAAATGTCCATGCATGCAGCATCATGTGATTATTTTAAAACCTATGTTACTCAGACTCGACTATCAAGTCCCGCTGACACAGCTACTATATAGTGCAAAATGAAGAGTCGGACATGAATACAGCGACTAAGTGAAGAATTTCAGTAGTATAGTTTAGAACCATTGGTCACTGAGCAATACAATTTACAACTACGCGAATAAATGTGTATGATCGAAGGTACTTGGATTTTAGATATATGGAACTATGAATCTCTGATAGGATTAATAATAAATGGAAAATAAAGAAGAAGATTTATCAAAGAGTAATGAAAGTCGAGGTGCAGGATGCCTAGCACTGTTGAATATGATTTTGTTACTGCAAGAATGTATGCACGAATACAACGACAATCCAACAGTGGCTGCTAAGGGTCAATAATGCGATCAGCTTGGATATGTCAAATACATTTCAAGCCTTTATTATCTGCACAATTGTTCTAGGTCGCCTATTAGTTACCTATATATATATATATATATAATTTTTAACGTTGTTGTAAGTACAATGAATACAACCAAAAGAAATAGGAAATTGTCGTGCAATATTTAGTTGATAAGAGTTGAATAATGCATGTGCCAGAAAGATGTACATTTCACTTGCCTTTGCTCTTAATAACACTTTATTATGCATTTTTTTTAAGTCATATGCAGTTTGTGTGATGTAGTTTGTTGATTTTGACTCATCAAATGTGGATCTGAGAAATAACTTGCTTCTTAGTGCCTTTTGGACCATATTTAAAAAGTTATAAGCATCCTCACTAGACAATGGAAAGGGTAAATCCATAGTCCATTCACTTAATGCCCTTGATTTCTTCATGACGTAGTTAATAATGATATTGTAATTTGAAAACATTTCTTCACACATAATTATTCACGAAAAAGGCTAATCTAATTCCCAAGCTTCTCTTGGTTCAGAAAATAAAAAGAAGATCGAAAGGAAAAAAGGAAAGACCCTTCATGAATCTCTGTGGAAAATCGTCCAAGGGTAATAAGCTCAGACATACTGAGAACAGAAAAAGTACCCTCAGGCTGTATGCTAGAACCTTACAATTACAACATCTATCCACTTCTTGTAATTGAAACACACTACATCTACACATTATTGACAGCTATAATTTATTTAAATTCTCCATTATTACCCAAATCACCTTTTCTTATCCATCATGGTTCAAATACTATGACTTCTTCTATAAAACAAACAAGAATGAAGGCAATGAATGTGGATTTAAAATAGGCAGTGTGTCAAAAGATTAAATTTATCAGTGTAATGTAAAAAAAAATTTCTCTCAAAGTAAGCAAGAGATGCCTAGTCCACAAATAAAATGTAAGTTAGACCCATCCTTTTTTTACGCACCAATTTCTTATTATAGCAAAAACACTTTTAAAATTGGTTACGAATTGTAATGAAACAAGAGGCTAGGAATTGCAGGAGGAAAGAAGGCGTGAAGTAAAACTAAAGGAAAACGTGATCGAGCATGAAATGGAGTAGAGAAGACGTGAACTGAGAAGGACGGTCATCAGCAGTGCACTAGGAGGGCAAAGGCGTGAAAGCAAAAAAGAGGAAGGCACGAGGATAGCGGGAGGCGTGAACAGAAAGCACGCCTTTTCTGGGTTCATGCCATTCTTGTTGTTGGTTGCACCAGCCATCCCAGAAGATTCCTTCTCACATGCACTACCGATTCATTAGCAAGTGGGAGGAGTTAGTTAGATTAGCTTCCTATAAAAAGGGTGATCATGTAATTGCTAGCTATCAGATTGTATTTTCGAATTTTGTAATCAAAAGGGAGAATATCCTTTTGGTTTCTTCCCCAAGTTTCTTCCTGCATTCTTCTTCCCCTTCTTCCTTTTCCCGCCATTTGCATTTCTATACTTTTTGAAGATTCTTTAATAAAAGTAAAGTTGATTTACGAATTCAATCCAGCTTAAGTCCAGATTATATTTTCAGATTAATTCCAATTATTTCCATTCCTGCACATTTTCCAGTTCTGTACCACAACAGTGGTATCAGAGCTCGATCACGAGCCATAGGGATGACAAAAAACCAGGATGAAGCATTGAGAAGAGATGTGGTGGAACTAGGGTGCGTGGTCGGGACTTTTTCCAACAAAAATGATGGAATGGAGCAGGCCATCCGAACAATGGAATTCAGACAGGATGCTACTGAAAAGTTACTCAAAGGGCTGGATCAGAAGTACGAAGGGATGATGAACATGATGGCTCAACTCATGGCCAAGGTCAGTGATCGTGGGAAGGAGCTAGAAGGAAGCAGCAGCTCAAAGGGAGAGGATAGGCCAAACGAATCCAGGTTGGAATTGCAGAAGGAAATAGTCAGCAAAAGAGATACCAGAATCAGTGGAAGGCTGCCTAAAATGGATCTGCCAATTTTCGATGGTGATAACCCAAGAGAATGGATCAGGAAGGCTAATAAATATTTCAAAATAAATGAGATAGAGGAGAACATGAAAGCTGAGGTGGCTGAACTCTATTTCAGGGACAGAGCTGATATCTGGTTCCATGGAGTCTTCCATGGGAGGGAGACCATTTCCTGGTCAGAGTTGTCTACTGCTCTGAGTATCAGATTTGGAGAAGGAAGTCCAGAAGAAGCCATTGAAGAATTCAACAAGTTGGTGCAGACTGGATCCGTAGCTGAATACCTCGAAAAATTCGAGATGCTTAAAGCCCTGGTAATGCCATCTTTACCTCACTTGTCTGATTCATATTACAAAGCATGCTTCATGAGTGGGCTGAAGGAGGAGATAGTCAATATGGTTAAGATGTCCAAGGCTGAAACCTTGGCTGTTGCTATTGAAATGGCAAAACTCCAAGAGAAAAAACCTCAAAGCTATTCAAAAAATACAGAAACCTGTCAGTACTAGTCTCAGTAACCAAAGAACCCCCAGTAAAATAGCACCAAGCCACAGATGGAACCAAAACTACCCCAAACATACCAACAAAATCCATGACCAGAAAACAACCAACCAGAGCCAGTTCAAAAGAATATCACCCACAGAATTCAACCTAAGGAGAGAGAAGGGATTATGTTATAAATGCGCTGAGCCTTATACCTTGGGCCACGTATGCAAACAATCACATGTGCATTTCTTGTTGGCTGAGGAGTCTGAGTCTATGGAGGAAGCTAAAGAACCAGAGGAAGAGGTTTATTGTGATTGCATTAATGGAGAGCTGTCAGATGAACACATAGAGGTATCTATCCATGCCTTGGCTGGGGGAACCAAACACAGGACTATAAAATTGAAAGGTCTGGTTAAGGGGAGAAAGGTTACTGCACTGATAGACAGTGGCAGTACCCACTGTTTCCTGGATGAGCAGCTGGCCAGAGAGTTAAAATTATGTACTCAGGGACCAAACTTAGTAGTCAATGTAGCCAATGGAGAAAAGGTGGATTCCAAGGGATTGGATAAACCCCTGCAGTGGGAAATGCAGGGACACCAATTCCAACATGCCTTCAATACTTTAAGGTTGGGTGGGGTTGTGACATGATCCTTGGGGTGGATTGGTTAGCAAAACACAGTCCTATAGAGTTCAATTTCAGGGAATTCAATATAAAAATCCATCAGGGGAAACAAGAAGTTGTGCTGATGGGGGAGGGTATCAACACCAAACTGAAGGGTCTCAAGGGAGGAAGGTTGGCAAAGTGGCTGAGAAAGCAGACCTATGGGGTGGTTGCTCAACTGGTGGCAGTAGAAGAAGAAGGAAATGCAGGGCAGCTGCCTGCTGAGATCAGACAGGTACTGGATCAATACAAGGATGTCTTTGAGGAGCCTAAGGGAATGCCTCCAACCAGGGGCCATGAACACTAGATTATCCTCAAGGAAGGGGCCAAGCCTTTTCAAGTAAGGCCTTACAGGTGCCCCTACATCCAGAAGACAAAAATTGAGAGATTGGTAAAGGAGATGCTGGAACTAGGCATCATACAGCCTAGCAGTAGCCCTTTTGCCTCACCAGTACTACTAGTTAAGAAGAAAGATGGGACATGGAGATTCTGTGTAGATTACAGGCAACTAAATGAGCTAACAGTAAAAAACAAGTTTCCCATGCCTCTGATTGAGGAGTTGATAGACGAATTGCATGGAGCCAAGTTCTTCACTAAAATTGACCTGAGAGCAGGTTACTTTCAAATCAGAGTCAAAGAGGAGGACATTTCAAAAATAGCCTTCAGAACTCACCAAGGGCTCTACGAATTCAAGGTTATGCCATTTGGTCTAACCAATGCCCTAGCAACCTTTCAAAGCTTGATGAACCAGGTCTTCCAAGAACAGATGAGGAAACATGTGCTAGTGTTCTTTGATGACATCCTGGTCTACAGTCCAACACTAGAGGAGCATGTGAAGCATGTAGATGGAGTAATGAGTATTTTAAGACAGCACCAGCTGTATGCCAAGATGAGCAAATGTTCTTTTGCACAGCAGCAGGTGGAGTACTTGGGGCACATAATATCAGCAAATGGAGTTCAGGCTAACCCCAAGAAGATAGAATGCATGGAAAACTGGTCCAACCCAACTAATATCAAGCAGCTAAGGGGATTTATGGGGTTGACAGGTTACTACAGAAGGTTTGTCAAAGGCTATGGAGCCATAGCAAGGCCTCTGACAGACCTGCTGAAGAAGGATAACTTCCACTGGGGGGGAGGACTCAGAACAGGCCTTCCAGAAGCTGAAGAAGGCCATGTGCAGCACCCCTGTCTTAGCAGTACCTGACTTCACCCAACCATTCATTATTGAGACAGATGCATGCTACACTGGCATAGGGGCGGTACTGATGCAGAACAGGAGACCTATTTCCTATCTCAGTCAAGCTTTGGGACAAAAGAACATGGAACTATCAATTTATGAGAAAGAGTTGCTAGCATTAGTAACTGCGGTGACCAAATGGAGGCACTACCTAGAAGGACATCATTTCATCATACATACTGACCACCAGAGTTTAAAGTACCTACTGGATCAGAGGATTACTACCCCTCTCCAGCAGAAATGGCTCACTAAGCTGCTAGGATTGAGCTACGAGATTCACTACAAAAAAGGAAAAGATAACCTGGCTGCAGATGCACTATCTAGACAGGGCAGAGAAGAAGTGGGAGAGTGCACTGCCATTTCCTGTGCAGTGCCTGTGTGGATCAAAGAAGTAATAGAAAGCTATAAAGGGGATGAGTGGGCTCAGAAGACCATATCCCTGGTGCTTCTGACTCCTACACTAGCTCCAGATTACTCCTACCAGGATGGCATCCTCAGATACAAGAAGAGGCTAGCCATAGGAGAGCAAGGTGACACCAAGAAGAAACTCATTACTGCACTACATGACTCCCAACTGGGAGGGCATTCAGGCATCCAAGCCAGCTACTTGAGGGCCAAGCAGCTGTTCTACTGGCCAGGAATGTACAGAGAGATCAAGAAGGCAGTTCTGGAGTGTGATACTTGTAGGAAGTGCAAGGATGAACATGTAGCCTACCCAGGATTGCTACAGCCACTCCCTATCCCTCAACACTCCTGGAGCCATGTTACCATGGATTTTATTGAAGGGTTACCACGATCAGAAGGAAAGGATACCATAATGGTCGTGGTAGATAGATTCACCAAATACTCTCACTTCATCAGCTTGGCACACCCTTTTGATGCTCCTAAGGTGGCCAGACTTTTTATTGACTATGTCAGTAAACTTCATGGGATTCCTCAAAGCATGCTCTCAGACAGGGACAAGGTATTTGTTAGCCAATTTCGGGGGGAGTTGTTCAGTATGATGGGGGCCAAGTTAAACTACAGCACAGCTTACCACCCTCAGACTGATGGCCAGATTGAGAGAGTAAACCAGGTGCTTGAAATGTACCTCAGATGTCTAACTCATGTGGAACCTAAGAGATGAAATCAGTGGTTATCCTTAGCAGAATGGTGGTACAACACCTCACACCACACGGCCATTCAAATGACTCCTTTTGAAGCATTATATGGTTTCTCACCTCCACAACTGGCTCTAGGACCCTACCTGCAGTCCAGGGTAGATGCAGTAGGAGAATACATCAGGGAAAGGCAACAATTGGATAACATGTTGAAACAGAACCTGAAGCAGGCTCAGGAAAGGATGAAGAAGTATGCTAATGAGAGGAGGAGTGAAAGGGAGTTCAGTGTGGGTGATTGGGTGTACCTACGGCTACAACCTTATAGACAGAGTTCAGTGGCTCTGAGGGGAAATACTAAGCTATCAGCAAGGTATTTTGGCCCATACCAGATAGAGGAAAGGATTGGAGGTGTAGCCTACAGGCTGAGTTTGCCAAAATCTTCAAGGGTCCACCCAGTCTTTCATGTATCTTTGCTCAAAAGGAAAGTAGGGAACAAAGTCACTCCTATCCTCCAATTACCAGAGATAAACGAGAAGGGTCACTGGAGAGTGGAGCCAGAGGTAGTTTTGGGCAGAAGGATGGTAAAAAAGAAGAATGCTGCGGTAACTCAGTGGCTGATCCACTGGTGGGGAACTGACCCTACAGAAGCTACCTGGGAGGATGCTGAGGAGATCAAAGCACAGTTCCCTACGTTTCAATCTTGAGGACAAGATTTGTAGTCAAGGGGGAGGTATTGTAATGAAACAAGAGGCTAGGAATTGCAGGAGGAAAGAAGGCGTGAAGTAAAACTAAAGGAAAACGTGATCGAGCATGAAATGGAGTAGAGAAGACGTGAACTGAGAAGGACGGTCATCAGTAGTGCACTAGGAGAGCAAAGGCGTGAAAGCAAAAAAGAGGAAGGCACGAGGATAGCGGGAGACGTGAACAGAAAGCACGCCTTTTCTGGGTTCATGCCATTCTTGTTGTTGGTTGCACCAGCCATTCCAGAAGATTCCTTCTCACATGCACTACCGATTCATTAGCAAGTGGGAGGAGTTAGTTAGATTAGCTTCCTATAAAAAGGGTGATCATGTAATTGCTAGCTATTAGATTGTATTTTTGAATTTTGTAATCAAAAGGGAGAATATCCTTTTGGTTTCTTCCCCAAGTTTCTTCCTGCATTCTTCTTCCCCTTCTTCCTTTTCCCGCCATTTCCATTTCTGTACTTTTTGAAGATTCTTCAATAAAAGTAAAGTTGATTTACGAATTCAATCCAGCTTAAGTCCAGATTATATTTTCAGATTAATTCCAATTATTTCCATTCTTGCACATTTTCCAGTTCTGTAACACAACACTAATGTTAGGATAAATTAACTCAAGGCCCTTGCACTTTCAGCTGGAACATAGTTCATGAAACTTATAATTTGTTAATTTTCAAATTGCAGATCATATCATCACCGTGATAGTAAGGCATCCAAGCGAAAGTTCAATACCTTAATGTATGAGTTTTCTAAACTGAAAGATAAAATATGATCTAAAGCAATACTAATTAGAGTTTTCTCAAGCAAAGAAAAAAAAATATTACTAGCAAAAGTTAAAGGACTGCCTGCAAAGATTGATTTGTCAGTAATTGCGAGGAAGGACCGAAACATATATTGAGCACTCAACAGGATCTGGTGCTATACACTTCCTACATTTATTAGATACAAAAAACAGCAAGTCAAAAATCACTAAAACATATTTTGTGATAAATGTTTTATCCTTTAACTAATGTAATCATATATGGCATATTTGGTACCATAATCATAAATATTAAACCCTTCAAGCCAAGATTGTTAGTTGTTACTAATCCAACTAGTGGATAAATATTTCAATATATATATACATACATATATATATATTCCCAACACCCATCTTGCAGCCAATTATGAGGCATAGGATTCGAACACTAAATCTAACAGTGGGGAAGACTCTAAGAACATGTTATTTGACTATCAAAAGAAAATGTTGTAGCAAATTTTTTGTCTAATGAATTGAAAGTAAATTACAATAATAGTTTATAAACATAAATTATAACATTTTTGGTACATATTTAAACTTATATGATGACATTGGATATACAATTGTGAATAATACATAACATTGAATATAATCATTTTCATTAGATGTCTACTTTTATTTTTTTAACGTGCTAAAGTATTAAAGATATTTGCCTTGTATTTTTTTGGCCTTGTAAAATAGTAATCCTAATAATTTTTTCCAAATCATGTCTTACCAAAAACATTTTTGGAGATTAAATAGCTTTTCTATTATTCAACAAAATTCACTTCTATTCTAAGAAAAAAAAATATTAGCTTTTATTCTATGAAACTTGGAAAGATTTACTTTTAACATGCAGTTTTAGATTTTCGAAACTAAATGAATAAGTTCTTTTTTTTAACACTATAGAAAGTGAAATTTCATTTTATTTTTTTAGTCAAGATTGATTTAATTATTTTGGTCTTTATTAAGTTAAATTAAAAATATTTGTACTTGCAAATTGGGCCAATATTATATGGACTTTCAAATCAAGTCAAGGGTGATGCAATCTGATATTAATTAAAATAGATTTATTAATCATTAATTCATAGTAGACTATTGAGGCCAACCTATTGTTAAAATCCAGATTAGATGGATTTTTTGAGTTACAAGTCACTCAAGGTGTTTGGAAGATTCTAGAGTTTCTTGAAGAACAATCCATGATTCTTCTAGACAGTTTCCTTTTAAGCCAATAAACTCCATTATTTGGCCATAAATCTCAAAGAAATTGTGTCGAGTTCTTTCAATCAACACGAATCGTGTGAATCTAGTATTGAGTAAGTTTTCTCCTTGAAATTCAAATCAAATTCAACATGGAATCAAGTGTCTTTTGGGGGTTTAAGTTACACAAGTTGAGGTTCCTCTAGAGTAAGGATTCTATTTTTATTAGAAGCGTCTAAAAGGTTTGAATGGATGAGCCTAGTGGCATTAAGTTGCTCAGAAAACTTTTTAACATTCAACTTGAGGTTCAAAGTGAGCAGTTGACTTAGTTTGGCGCCAGGGATAGTTTCGGGAAAGACATCAGACAGTTGTGTCCCCTTTCTCCAAATAAGTGGAGAGAAACCAAGATTCTTTATGAAAAAGAATTGGTGCTTCTACCCTTTGATGGAAGAAGGGGCTTTGATGAACAGTTCATGGGTCTGATGTTTGCTTCCACTTTTGCATGCGAAGTAAAACCAACTTGGAACGTGGCTAGAAACTTTCATAAGGAAATAGAAGCGGAATAGATCCAATGAATAGGGGATTCCTATAACTCTACAAAGGTTGAAAAAAACCTAGGATGGACCAAATAGCATTACGAATGACTTGGGTTATCTGAATAGCCCAAAAGGATAGGATTTGAGATAAGAAAGAGGAAATTGGAAGGCAAAGACCTGCCACAAATTGATCTCTATAAATGGCGACATATCTTGGAGGAGGTCGGCATGCGATCTCAAAAGGGCGAGCTACCCGAGTATTGAACTGTGGAGGGATAGAATAAGCCGTGGCAAGCTAGTTGACCTCCTCCTGGTCTAGGATGGAGGGGATGGTGTGAATCTCCCTGAACTCGATTTCCCTTGGCTGATCAGGGCCAAAGGGACCTTACTACTAGGAGCATCCCCTGCTCCTTTAAGAGTTACCTCTTGGATTGGAGCTAGGAAGGTTGCCTCGAGATTTTGAGGGATGTGTTCAGGAGAATTCAAAACGTTAATAGGAGAAAAAGGATTAGGGATATACTTTGAATCAAAAGATGAAGTAGAAGATGAAGTAGAAGAAGAACGAACTTCTATGGGAACGGATGGTCAAACTGTCTTATGTCTAGGTGCCAAAGTGGTGATATCAGAATGCTTAGAAGAAGACATAAAAAACAAAGAAAGGAGAACTTACTAGTGATAGCGGAAGAGTGACTTGAACAAAAAAACTTTCCTAAAGGAAGGTGAACTGCCAAAAACAATCGCTTGAACAGACTGAAGAGAAGATGAGGAAGTTTTGAGTGAAAACAAAAGGAGAAGAAGGAAGGAAAATGACAAAGTGCCCTTTGTTTATAGGGGACCACTAGAGCAAAAAGATGAAAAGCTTTTTGAATTTGAATTGAAAGGCAGTTATTGTTAGTAACGGACGTGACAGTTGATAAGATACATGTATCTTATCTTAGAATTCAAAACGTTAGGAGTAATAATGGTGTAAGGCCCGAAGACAACTTAAAAGGAGGGGTGAATTAGGTTATCCACACAAACCAAGCAAATAAAACAAGTTTTTACCCAATAACCACACTACAACTAATTGCACAAATTCACAAATATAATGCAAGTGAAGAGCAATAAAGATTGCACAATTAAGTAACAAAAACTGAAAAGAAAGAGATAGAAATCCAAACCAAAACTTTCAAGTTTCTTTCAAACTTGAAGTTAACTTCAATCCAATAGCTTCTTCAATGATGGTGTTGCAAATAACATGCAAATAACATTGTACATAAGAAAGATCACTCTTTAGTTAAGTCAAAGAGTTTTACAAAACTCCTAGTTAACCCTCTATTCTACAATTGATTGCCAACTAACCAACCAACTAAGAGCTATTATACAAGTGAGGCTCATCTTCACAAGGTTTTACTTCTCCTTAATGAGAAACCTCACTAACCCAAGAACTTTCCCAACACCTATACAATAGTCAAAGTATGTTTCTACCCAAAAAATCGCTCTTGAAAGCTTGTCTCTTATGTAGGTAAAAGTCTTATCTTCTTCTCATGCTTGGAGGTATTTATAGATGGTGAAATTATACCCCAAAAGCTTCGACAACGGTCAAAAAACTAGCCGTTAGAAAACTAACCGTTGGACTTGTCGAACATTCGAATTAGTTGTGTAGGACATCCGATCCAATTGTTCTGCATCTGTTAGCTTGCATTTGATAGAGAACAGAATATTCAAGTTTCAACCCTTTTTATGCCGGATGGTTGATAGAAGGAATGAGTGTTCGATCGAATTGTCCGATGAATATTTGCTGATTGTCGGACGTTCGATACTTTGCTAAGCGTCTAATCCTTGTGTCTGATAAGTAGATTTCTTTTTTAATCCTTCTTGATTTGTTATCCTCCTTTTTTCAATTTGCAAGATACTTGTCCCTAATCATTTCTCATATAAAAACATCATTTCAAATCATCATTTTATTTCATTATCATCAAAACCAAGGATTGATCAACCTATGTCTTCAAATGGCAGTTACATGCACCCTCAACCAAACTCACACGTGCCTCTGAAAACCAAGATTGCATTCATTTGGTACAACCAAAAATCTAGTCTTGAGGAGAGCAGGCTATTGTAGAGGCAAAAAGTCACCATGGATGTGTCATGGCTGAGCCAACCAATTCGATTGCTTCTCGACCAAAAGGAGGGAGGATAAAGTTTGGTTCTGAACTCTTAGGGATAAGTTTAAGGCGTGAATCCAATATTTCCAGGACTTTACCCCTAACAACCTAATAAACCTTTAATTATCTGGTGGAGTGGTTATTGTGAAACAAAGTGATATGCCTAACTTTCCTATCACTTATCGGATAAGGCTCTATAAATAACAAGGAGTTAGATCACGAAAGATATGCAGAAGAAACATGATGTGACACGAACTCCGTTGAAGACGAAACCCGTGAATCCCTCGCACGATCTAGACAACTAGC